TGCTATGGTATAGACACGGAGCCGTGCAGAGAGGTGGCGGCCCCGTCCCCGGTCCACACAGCGGGGAACGGCAGAGGAGGATTTCACACCCCTACACCGCACACCCGTTACTATACGCACACCACACCCCTACACCGCACACCCGTTACTATACGCACACCACACCCCTACACCGCACACCCGTTACTATACGCACACCACACCCCTACACCGCACACCCGTTACTATACGCACATCACACCCCTACACCGCACACCCGTTACTATACGCACATCACACCCGTACACCGCACACCCGTTACTATACGCACACCACACCCCTACACCGCACACCCGTTACTATACGCACACCACACCCTTACACCGCACACCCGTTACTATACGCACATCACACCCCTACACCGCACACCCGTTACTATACGCACATCACACCCCTACACCGCACACCCGTTACTATACGCACAACACACCCCTACACCGCACACCTGTTACTATACACACACCACAGGCACCACATCCCCCCACATCACACACACATCATGCACACACCACAAAACACAGCCCCCACACACCCCCACACACGCCATGCACATACAACACAGGCACCGCAAAACACATCACACACACATCACACACAACACCCCAGAACCCCACAACACACAGTACACACCCACACACAAAACACACATGCAACACACACACACCATCTAGGCTCGGAATAACCCTCAGCTGCGCCCTTAGAAGAGCACCTTCCTACTTGAAAGTGCATGCGTGCTTCCTGGGTGTGGGGCGCCCCTGGGTTTCCCAGGCAGCCCCCCATTTCAGGCTCTGCGGCTCCTATGCTGGGCCCCTCCGGGGGGCCAGACACAGGCCTTCCCGTCCAGGGCTTCCAGTTTCCCCAGAATATATTCAGCCCGATGGGGGAATGGTGTATGTATTTCAACTGCTCCTGTTCCCAACTTTTTTTTGGAATTCCTTTTGTGGATTTTTTTTGGAACCAGTTTGTGGGGCATATCAAATCACTCTAGTCATTCTTGTTGTATCAGTTAGAAAGATGTTTGGCTGCAAGCAACATAAAACCCACTGTAGTGGCTTAAACAAATAAGGTGCTAATTTTTCCTCCACAACAAGAACTCTGGCGGTAGGTGGCCCAAGGCCAGCGTGGCTCTGAGGAATGCCCTTGGTGGCCCAGACTCGCACTGTGCCTCTGCCCTGTTCTCCCCGGTGTGCTGGCTGTCGCCCAGCCCCTGCAGCCCTGGGATTGCAGGCGGCTTTGCGTGTGTGTCCAGCGGTGATGGACTGTCCGCTGGAAGGAAGGGGGGAAAGAAATGGGCAAAAAGGCTCTGCCAGCCAAGTCTGCCCCATTTCGCCAGGAAATCAACAGCTTCCCTCAAATTCCTCCTGAGTGGCCCTCTGCTTGAAGCTCATGGTGAGAACAAACCCTCAGCGCCTCTGTGCTTGCTGGACAGCGGGGGACCCTGTGACGTGTCCGGAGTGTGGCAGATGAAGAGAAAATTAAACCCTCCTCCAGCTGGGCTGTTTGATGTTAGCAAGGAGGGACATTTTGTTGCTGTGCCTTGGATTGTGATATCTCTAGGGTGGCTCCTGGAAGCCACTCACCCCGGGGCAGGGACATTCACGTCAGAGGGAGTGGAGCCACGCCCCCTAATGCGGCTCTCCCGGCTGCTCTGATCTCTCTGAGAAGCCACCTGCTTCAGAGATGGGGCCCACAGTCACCCTGTCCACGCCCCAGAGGACTATGCTTGTCGTACTGTGTCTGTCACCTTCTGCCTGATGTTGGTGGAAGGGAACTCTGCCAGGTTCAGTGAATAGCCCTGTTGGACCCACCTCCCCGCAGGCCTGGGAGATGCAGGCACACGTATATATAAGGGGCTACTGGAGATTTGCCGAAGAGCAAACAGGGTTCATTGATTCCTTAGGTCACCGGCAGCTTTGTTTTTATCCATCACATTCCGTGAGCTGCGTGCGAGCCACCTGCTGGGCATGGCAAGCGTGAGCCGCGTGCCGGCTCTGCAGGAGGAGATCCCAGGGGTTAGGGGGAGACCAGTGACGCGATCATGTGCTGGGTGCGCCGAGCAGGGGCTGGGGCTAGCGACGCAGGCTGGGTACGGCCACGGAAAGCTTCACCGAGGAGCCCATGCACAAGTTGAGTTTTGAGGCCAGTCTGGGTGACAGCTGTGATAGGAGGCAGCTTGTTGTGAGTCTGCAGGAGAGGCATAAATAATGTCTTTAGGGCATGCACACAAAAAGAGGTGACTTCTGGTGGGAGGGTGGCAGGCACTGGGGAAGGCTTCATGGAGAAAGGGTGAGATTCACCTGGTGAAGTTGTAGCAAGGACTTTGCAGGCAGAGGGAGCAAATGAGAAAAACCACAACCATGCGAAAGGCCAGGGCGCGCTCTGGGCATGCCCAGGTTTGGTGGGGAGATGAGATTCGCAGTGGGAGCGTGGTGGGAAAAAGACTAGAGAAGTAGGTTGGAGTCGTGTCGCGAAGGGTCTCAGTGTCCTGTTAGGAGGTTTTATTTCCTTTGTAAGCAATGTAGACATTTGAACAGAGGAACGGCATGATCACAGGGGTTCGTAGGGAGAAAACCGGGTTGAGAGGAGCTGGGTGGGATGAGGAAACTGTGTTATTTTATTTGCTCTTTGCAATTTGCCTTTGAGTGAGATACTGCCGTGCTTGAGGCTTCAGTGGTGAGCAGCAGCATGACCCCCGCCTGCCCATCCACTGCCGCCGTTTCCCTTGGGCGCCGGGTCTGGTCTCTCCTGGGAGCCCTGTGGCCACCAGGAGGACGGTGCTTGTCATGGGGCGGGGCTGGTGAGAGAGCAAGTGGGAAGCAGGTTGCCGCCTGCATCAGAAAAGGTCTTTAAAAAGTAAATTGTGTGTGTGTGTGTGTGTGTGTGTGTGTGTGTGTGTGTGTGAGCGAGCGAGAGAGCGAGAGAGCGAGCGAGAGGGAGGGAGGAATTACTGTGAGACCCAATCAGGGACTCTGCTGAGAAAGACGCAGGCAGGCAGGCCAGGGCCCCAGGACGACCGGGCGAGGAAGCTGATCTGATGATGGCGGGGCCTCGGCTGAGCCGGTCACAGTTTCTGTCTCCGTGCTCAGGCCGCCGCGTCTGAGAAGACCACAGTGCGTTCGCACCTGGAACGTGGACGCAGCTTTGGCCACAGCGCTTGAAGACGGCACGGCGTCACAAGGTCCTCGGACGCCTCTGGGAGGCTGCAGGGCCTTCCGTCTGGAGACGCATCGCAGGGATCCAGCTTCACATGGCAAAGATGAGGGCTGAGACACCGCGGCCGTGTTGTCGGGCTTCCGGACTGATGAGTGGGAGAAGCAGGGACCCGTTCCCCAAAGCCTGGGCTCCCAGAGCTGGGTGTGCGGGGAGGCCGGCGGGAGGCCGCGCCGGGCCAGCGGGATGAAACGTCCTTCCGCACGATGGGCAGCGTGCTCACAGACGCGAGGCCGGGAGGCCGGTGCGGGATGCGCAGATCGCGGGATGTGGTGAAGTTTCGTCACTGCTCAGACGATAACTCCACCATGGGCTCGGGGAGCGAGCGCGGGCCGCCCGGGCCGCGGCCCCTGGAGCTGCGCGGGAGCCACAATGGCGCCCTCCCGGGGGCGCCACCCAGCGGCGGGCCGCGGCCCCTGGAGCTGCGCGGGAGCCACAATGGCGCCCTCCCGGGGGCGCCGCCCAGCGGCGGGCCGCGGCCCCTGGCGCTGCGCGGGAGCCACAATGGCGCCCTCCCGGGGGCGCCACCCAGCGGCGGGCCGCGGCCCCTGGAGCTGCGCGGGAGCGACAATGGCGCCCTCCCGGGGGCGCCGCCCAGCGGCGGGCTGGGCGCTCCCTGCGCGAACAGAAAGGGTTCTGCTTTCTTCTGTGTTTACTTGAATCTCTAAAGTGACCAACAGCAAGCCTCAGGATTTTTTAACTTTCTTGACTTTTATTTCTTCTACATCAAATTATGATGATTTAGTACTAATCTCGGGAGCGTTATAAGCAACGAGGCACAAGGTTCCCATGGTGAACTCTGAAACATAAAAGGGCAATACCCTAAAAGGGCCATACAGAGCGAACACACACTCTCACACACACATTCTTACGCACACACACCACGTGTTGGCTAAATGGCTTCACTGTTTCCTCCAAGCACATTTGTCAGAGTTGCTAATAAGGGGCCAAGGGGACTCGTCTTTCCTTCCTTCCTTCCTTCCTTCCTTCCTTCCTTCCTTCCTTCCTTCCTTCCTTCCTTCCTGCCTGCCTGCCTGCCTGCCTGCCTGCCTTCCTTCCTTCCTTTTTCCTTCCTTCCTTCTCTCTTCCTCCCTGTCTCCCTCCCTCCCTCCCCCTTCCTTCCTTCGTTCCTTCCTTTGTTCCTTGCTTCCTTCCTCCCTCCCTCCCTTCCTTCCTTCCTTCCTCCTTCCTTCCCTCCTTCTTCCTTCCTTCTCTCTTCCTTCCTTCCTCATTCCCTCCCTCCTTCTTCCTTCCTTCCTCCCTCCCTCCCTCCCTCCCTCCTTCCTTCCTTCCTTCCTTCCTTCCTTCCTTCCTTCCTTCCTTCCTTCCTTCTTCCTTCCTTCTCTCTTCCTTCCTTCCTCATTCCCTCCCTCCTTCTCCCCTCTCTCCCTCCCTTCCTCCCTCCCTCCCTCCTTCCTTCCTTCCTCCCTTCCTCCCTCCCTCCCTTCCTTCCTTCCATGATCCACTCCACTGGTTGAGTGCCTAGGAGGCGGGATGGTCAGCAATCAGGTAGGGCGGGGCGGGAGGAGCAGAGGATTTCCAGCCCCGCAGTAAACAGCTGCCAGCGAGGGGCAGGGCTGACGCTGCAGGTGGGTGCGTTTCCCACACTGCGGAGGAGGAGGAGGGTCCGCCTGCTGACTTGAAGTGGGGGGAGCGATGTGGACTCGGGACTGAATGAGACCGTGAGGGCCCGAGAAGGCGGAGCCCTGCAGCCTGGCCTGACCAGTCTGTGTCCATGTGACACTGTGCAGGTGACTGCTGGGTCCTGGCGGCCATCGCCTCCCTGACCCTGAATGAAGAGCTGCTTTACCGGGTGGTCCCCAGGGACCAGAACTTCCAAGAGGACTACGCGGGAATCTTTCGCTTTCAGGTATTGTGCATTGCTCGTGGCCTTTGTCACTATGTTCCACACTCCCGGGTCCCATCTCAGATCTACTGAATGTTTAACAGTCCCTACAAGTGGCTTTGATGTACCCTAAGTCTGGGAGCCGCTGCTTCAGTGCCTCCCTCCAGTGCTCCACACATCCACCCCGTCTCCCGGGCTGTGAGGCCTTGGGGACGGCTCTTTGGACCAAGGGTAGGAACTCGGGCCCGAATCGCCCACTGCTGCCACTGGGTGGTGCTGGGCAAGGTCTCTGACCCACAGACTCAGAGACTGGACCGGACGCGTCCTGGTTCACTGGCACCTCCGGCACACACAGATACGCAGGGCGCGGATCCTGCTCTTGCAGAGCTGGGAGTGGTGGCCGAGTCCCCGCGTGAGGCCCCCGTAGAGGCCCCTGCCCACCTGCTTGTTTGTGCGGCAGCCACTGTGTTTCCCTCCCTAGTTCTGGCAGTACGGACAGTGGGTGGAGGTGGTTGTTGACGACAGGCTGCCCACCAGGGACGGACAGCTGCTCTTCCTGCACTCGGAAGAGGGCAGCGAGTTCTGGAGCGCGCTGCTGGAGAAGGCATATGCCAAGTAAGCGGCCACTGGGCCAGGGCCTCCAGAGCCCCCGAAGGCTCTCGGCTGCCACCGCCCACGCCTACCTGCCCATCCCTACCGTGGGGTGCCTGCACCCCAGCACCCAGGCCCCGGGCTGGAGACGGAGCATCCCTCCCTCCGTAACTAAGAGAGACAGACATCTGGGCTGGGAGCCTAACATCTGGGCTGTGACCCACGCGGAGGAGAGCTGGTGGGCACGCCCCTCCGCTCCGCACCCTCGCTTGTTCCTCTTTCAGACCCAAGGCAAGCTCTTAGGGCAATGTGATGTTTTAAAAGAATGATAAATAGTAATAAAACAAATGTACTTAGATTCCAAGTGAATACAGTTTCGGCCCCTTCCTCAGGAGCTCTTCTCACTGTCATTTGATGTCCAAAGCCTCCTTTTGGGTTCTTTAATAGTTTTGTTCACTGATACCCTTTTCTGCAAGCCCGGTTGCTTTCAGTCAGAGCAGACGCCTCACAGCCTTGGGAAGGTCCCTCCGCCCTCCCTGTGCCCCAGCCCCAGCACCCCAAGCAGCCGGCCCCGCTCTGGAAGGGCTGCCCGTGGCTTCGCGAAGGTGCAGGTGGTTGGAGAGAGGTTGTCTGAGGTCTGCTCCCAGTGACGTGCTGAGCTGGCCAATGACACAGTGGCCTAAATGCCTTCCTGGCCCGCAGGTGACTCTGGCAAAGGGCCTTCCTGACCTTCCAGCAGTGTCCCTGTCCCAGCTGCTGCGCCCCTCGCTGGGTGTTTTCTTTCTTTCCCAACAGGCTCAACGGTTCCTATGAGGCTCTTGCTGGAGGGTCCACAGTGGAGGGGTTTGAGGACTTCACAGGTGGCGTCTCTGAGTTTTACGACCTGAAGAAGCCGCCAGCCAGCCTGTATCAGATCATCCGGAAGGCCCTGCGTGCGGGCTCGCTGCTGGGCTGCTCCATTGATGTGAGTGGCGGCTTCTCCCTGTCCCTCCCCGTGTGCGGTCGGGAGCGGGCAGGACAGGGCGGGAGAGGCATGGGAAGGGTTTGGGCTGGAGCTCAGTCTGGGACTTAGTGGACAAGCCTGGCCCCACAGTGGTCACAGCATGCAGGGGCTGGTTAAGACCTGGTTAGTGGGCAGGGACTGGGGTTAGTCCCGTTGCAGGAGCCCCAGTCCCCCTAAGTGCGAGAGCCCCGTTAGCACTGCCGGAACGCCCTGACCACATGGTCTCGGTCCCTGGGTCCCGGGCCCTGCCTCCACCATTTCCTTTTGCTAAACAATCTTGAGCTTTTGCTAAATGGTCATCAAGAAATATGATGATTGGCAAAACTTGACGGACTTTGAAGAAAAGAGAAGGGGTCCTGAAACCAGGGGTTGTGGCCTGACAGGAGGGTTGGCTGCATAGAGTTCCGGGTGGCTGTGGAGGCTGGGGGCTGCAGGCTGGGGGCTGGAGGCCACCGCCCTGAGGTCCTGTCACTGCCTGTCTGTGGCTACTGTGCCCTCCGCTCCCGCTGTGCTGGGTGGCCCCACACGTGGAGACCGCAGAGCGAGAATAGTCTCCCTTTCTCGTCTCTGCAAAGCCTGGCAGGAGCCGGGTTTCTGGTGGGCTGCCACACGGGGCGGGCGGGGCGCTGGGGAGGAGGGAGGACAGCTGGAAGCCCGCCTGGTGCAGACGCGGCAGGGCCAGTGCCCCGAGCAGTCTTCCTCAGGCAGCATGGAGTCACTCTTGGAGAGTCAATGACTCCTTGGTTTTTTGGTGGCATTTTGGAGGCTGGTAAGTCATATTCCAGGCTTGGCAGCCACACAGCACCTGCCTAGAACTGCAAGGGTTAAGCGGAGATGGCTCTATTTACCTGAGGTTCACGGCTGCATCTGCACCCCAGTCCAGCACCAGGGTCCCCATAGCTGGGTAGTGTGTCCTTGGCCCCAAAGAGGCAGGGTCAGCCACCCTGAGTGGGCATTTCCCCCACCCAGGTCTCCAGTGCAGCTGAAGCAGAAGCCATCACCAGCCAGAAGCTGGTTAAGAGTCACGCATACTCGGTCACCGGGGTAGAAGAGGTAAATTGGACGGAGGGGGGAGGCACCACGGGATGCTAGTTCCGAGAATCCGGGGCGTCCCTGAGAGGAGGAGGGAGGCGATGGCTACTCAGAGGTTCGGAACTGGCTTCCCGGCCCTGCAGGCGCAGTCTGCCCCTGCCCGGGGAGCCCGCCCTGCCCGGGGAGCCCGCCCTGCCCGGGGAGCCCGCCCCTGCCCGGGGAGCCCGCCCTGCCCGGGGAGCCCGCCCCTGCCCGGGGAGCCCGCCACCGCAGCCACGTGGCCAGGCTCACTCCTTAGAGGGGCCCTTCCGCCTCGCCCAGTCGGAGGTGGATGGCTTAGCTTCTCTGAGCTGTAGCTCTGGGTTCTAACTAAATGCAGGCTCTCCTCTGAGGCGTGGCCAGGAAACTTGTAGAGATTGTTAGCTTCTACACACGTTACAAAAATATGTTTGTGTAGGTCAAACAGTAGAAACCCATAGGATTCCCAAAAGGAAAAAAGGACAGTAGTACCTGTCCCGACCTTCAGGGTGGGGCATGATCATGGGAAGGCATGCAGGCACTTCGCTCTCCGACCCAAGGGGAAAGCAGGGGCTAGCATTTCTATTAGTTTAGTTCCTATGTTCTGCTTACTTCCAAAGAGAATTTGAGGTGGTTTGCAGTTAAAAACATATACACAGCTAGGTGCCGTGGCTCATGCCTGTAATCCCAGTGCTTTGGGAGGCTGAGATGGGGGATTACTTGAGGCCAGGAGTTTGAAATCAGCCTGGTCACCATAGCATGACCCCGTCTCTACAAAAAATAAAAAATTAGCCAGGTGTGGTGGTGTGCGCCTGTAGTCCTAGCTACTCCGGAGGAAGAGGGAAGATCGCTTGAGCCCAGGAGTTTGAGGTTATAGTGAACTCACTGCACTCCAGCCTGAGTGACAGAGTAAGACTTTGTCTCAAAAAAAAAAAAAAATTTTTTTAAAAAAGCACAGACACAATAAAACTATACAACTAAAGTGAAATACATATGTCAATCTAGAGTAGAGACAGTACTACAATTGGGAAATTAATTTTGCTTTGGGCTTCCCAATGTCCAAGACAAGAAGGGAAATGCCATGGAGGTCCCCGCCCATAAATAGCCCTGTTATTTATTAAAATGGCATGGATGCTCATTACCTGTGCTTGTGTTTCACGAGCATACTCTTTAATCGAGTCAATCTCATAAATATGAAGTATACATGTATGTGTAAACATTGGGCTAGGGCATGTTGTGGGAGACAATGGAAATTAAGACAATAAAGAACTAACTGTCCGCACACAGCTTGTGTGTGCACATGCAGTGTGCACGTGTGTGTGCGCAGGGCGCAGGGGCTCACATGTGAGTGTTAAGTGTGTGTGGATTTATGAGCACAGGCTTTGGACACAGACTGCCTGGGTTCCCATCTTGCAGGTACCATTTACTAACTAGGTAATCTTCGAGAACGTAACTTCTCCAAGTCTCAGATTTTTGGGCTGTGAAATGAAGATAAAGACAGTACACAGCTCACAGGATCATGGTGAGGTTTAAATGAGGCAATAATGAATTTGAAATGCTTATCATAGTGCCCAGTCCATAGATCACGCTCAATACATGTTAACTGCTGTGCTGTTGGTGTGTGTTTGAAGGGTGTTAATTATCATTAGGACTCATATATTAAGGATGGAGTCAATCTTAGTCAACTCTAAAATCTAAATCCCCATTAAAGCAGACATAAACTTGTTTTTGTGCTAGATTCTCTCTTTATTGTATTTGAAAAAATTATGAAAAATAGATCCATTGGCCAAATTCTGAAAACATACGTAAAAATAAGACAAAAGTGTGGCGTTTTGGGACGTTTGAAAACCTTAATGCAAACCGTCTCAGATGCAGACGTGCACACGAGGGTCGTCGCTCTTCCGTGTGTGCGACTTGCAGGTGGATCTCCACGGCCATCCGGAGAAGCTGATCCGGCTCAGGAACCCGTGGGGTGAAGTGGAGTGGTCGGGAGCCTGGAGCGATAAGTAGGTTCTTCCCTGGTCCCACCTCCCCCGCAGAAGGTGTCGTGCAGAATGCACAGTGACGATCCCCATGTCCCAGTGAGCCCAGCAGCACTCGCTGTCCACAGGCCACACGGCCAGCCGTTCAGAAAAGAATGTTAAATGAGTCCAGGCTGGGAAAAGCAAAATAAAAACCACTGAGCTGTAGTCTTTGATTCTGGCTTACTGCTTTGGCATTTGAAAGTTTGGCAGCCCATTGAATTTTGCTTCGCGCTGACGGGTTTTTGTATTTTCTGCCTAACACTCTGTGGTGGTCCAAAGGTCAAATCTCTCACTCACAATCTGATTCTGTCCACTCCACAAACGCTAGTCACCCTGACAAAGGCCAACGTCCTTAGCACCAAGAGGAGATGACGGTGCTGAGAAAGTGGAGCTTGGCCCTGGCGGCCCCGCGGCTCCCGGCCCTGCAGGCGGTGGAGGCCAGGGTGGCACGCGCCCTGCAGGGTGGCACTGACTGCTGACCGGGGCAGGCCTCTCTGCTAGTGCGGGGAAGCTGGCAGGTGTGGTGGTGTCCCAGGACAGCTGTGCCCTGGAATCCACGGCCCCAGGGTGCAGGAGGATGGGGAAAGCACAGGACGGTTTCTGCAGTTAGCGCAGCGCGAGTGTGGGAGGCAGACTGATGCTGGGGAATGAATTAGAATTTACCAGTCTCATTGAGGAAGAGCCACCAGATATGGAGATGGTCACAATAATTCCCCCTTCCAAAACATCCTTAATCCTCAAGGGTCGGCTGTGTTCTGTGATGCCACCAGGGCTTTTGAAGGGAACGTCACCATGTTTAATCACAGCGTCGTCACTGCTCATTATTGCTCAGAGCTGCAGTAGTTAGTGTCCTGAAGAGGCATGTGGCCCTGGGGCCATGGATGGGCCTCCTGCAGGAAGGGTTTTCATTCCATTGCCTGAGGTTAAGCAAAACCCCAAACCTCAGCTCTGCCAGCTGTCCTAAAAGGGTGACATGGCTGCATGAAATTGAAGCCCCGAGTTTGGGCCTTTCTCACTAACAGCTATTTACCCTACTGCCAAAAAGGCTTGCATGACTTTGTCTCCTTTCCCTGAGCTGCCCCGTCTCTGGGGCTGGCAAAGGCCCCAGGGTCGGAGGTGGCGACCCCCAAGGCCGGGGCAGTGCCAGTGGAGAGGCAGCCTGGGCTATTGACATGCCAGCCATCGGAGAAGGAGGATGTCACATCTCTGCGGTGACACTCCTAAGCTCAGCCCAATGTTTAGCAAGATTTTACTTTCTTAAGTTTTAAAAAATAAACAACTGGGAGATTAGGTCAGATCTAGCGTTCTCTAACGTGTGCCCTAATTTTTGTTTATAATAAGTACATTCTGAGATTTGGTTCTGAGCAAACTACTGTTTTAATGAATTAAAGCAGCCGGGGCCTCTTGTTCTGCTCTCGGGGCTCCGGGAGCCTGGCTCTGAAGGGCAGGCGGGGCCGGGCATGCCCCCGCTTCTGTGCTGAGGAGGGAGCTGTAGAGGTTTGCTGAAAGTGTTTAGGGAAGGGATTTTTTTTTTTAAAGATGGATCTTGATACTGCTCGGTTATTTGGACATTGCGTACATATTTCAGGAAAACCTAACTCTGTAAAGGTCAGGCAGCTGGAGATGGCATTTGAACAAAGTATGTGAATATTGCCAGGGAAAGGCCACCAGCTTGAGGCCTCGTGGGGTGATGTTACTTCAGTGAAATTGCCACCAGCTGGGCCTGATGGTCATTCTTACAGGCTCCAGGAGTGGACCATGTCCATGTGCCCGGAGCTGGTCAGACCCTTTCATGCTAAGCTCACTCCAGACTGACGGACAAGCCAGAACAACAACTTTCTAATTGGTACCAGAGCGCATACCGTTTTGTGACATGAGCTCTTGAGTCTTCTTTCCTGGACTTCCCCATTCCTGCGATCAGGGGCCTGGGAGTCTTAATGAGAAACATGAAACTTGCACAGAGACTGGGAATTAGAGCCAGGCCGTAATGTCCCTGCTGCGGCATGCCTGGGGCAGCCCCGAAGTGCCCTGGCCCCTGCGTCCCTGCCCCTGCCCCACCGTCCGCCCTGCCTTTCCACCTGGGAGTTTTTGGTATTCCATTGCTGGCCCTTGGGAAGACGTTTAGCTGCAGTAAATGCTGTGCCTCAGTAGAACCCCTCGGGAACGGCCTCCTCTGATTTGTCCCCAGCGCACCAGAGTGGAATCACATAGACCCCCGGAAGAAGGAAGAGCTGGACAAGAAGGCCGAGGACGGAGAGTTCTGGTGAGAGGGTTTCTGCTGGGCATCCGCTGCCTGGTTATGGGTCCATTTCCAGTTCTGATGGGGGCGCACGTCTTGCAGGAACGCGACATGGTGCCTGGCTATGGGGCATTCGTTTTTCTCGCCCTTTGTCCTAGCATAATCCTACCACTACACCAGGGTGTAGACAGCGGGCCCTCCGTGTGGCCTAGTTGCCAGCCTGTCTTTCTCAGTCTGCATTGTCTTTCCCATGAACGGAGAGCCCGCTTCTATCTCTTCAAGCTAAGACTTAGCTTATCATCAACATAGGATAAGTTCCTTCGCCAATGAGCTAAGGAAGATAGTAAGGGTACCCCTTGAATATGGTGCAGCCCAGCTGGACATCACTGAGAATTAAATAGGAAGAAACCTCTTGTGGGCTTAGACCTAACTCAACCTGGAGGCAGAAGCTTTGTTCAGGTGACCTCCTGGGGTTGGTGGGTGTGTGAGAGGCATCTTCCCTGTTGGGACCCGACTGCAAGGAGTGTGGCCGGCAGTGTGCACGTTTGTGTCAGTGGGCTGTGGAAAGATTGAGCTGGCCCAGGCCCCAGGGCTGCGGTCTTCACTCTGGCTCTGAAGGCTGGAACTACCTTCAGAGCCATACCTTCATGCCTTCAACCCCTTTCCAGCCAGCCCGGCTCCACTCACCGAGAGCCCTCTGCTTCCTCTGCCCCCAGGATGTCATTTTCAGATTTCTTAAAGCAATTCTCTCGGCTGGAGATCTGCAACCTGTCCCCAGACTCTCTGAGCAGCGAAGAGGAGCACAAGTGGAGCCTGGTCCTGCTCCACGGCCGCTGGGCCCAGGGCTCCGCCGCGGGCGACTGCCAGAGCTGCCCAGGTAGGGAGAAGGGCCGCCGCGCCCAGCCTCCTTCGCTCTCCTCTCGGAGCCGGCGCCTGCATCCAGCAGTCTCCGCACAAAGCCTTTGTTCTTCGGCTCCCGGGTACCCCCGAGACCCTGCTTGTCCCCAGGGCTTGGAGCCCGGCAGCAAGGTGGGCAGTGGCCCTGTGGCTGCCCACCTGAGGCCCTATCTCAGCTTCCGTGTGCTCACACTGTCCCTGCCTCACCCGCGCTCCCCTCGCCCCAAGGGGCGTGCTCTTCCTGCTGGCCCTGCGCTTGCCGCTCCACACCGAGGCCTCCTGTCCTTCTGTTGGGCTTCCTCCATCCCCGCCGCCCAGCTGGCCGCGCCTGGCGGGCTCTGGGACAGGGCGCCGATGGCCTAGGAGCGGCGCAGCCCTGCTGCCCCGCGAGGCGGCCGTCGGAGCCGCCCTTCGCCTTGGGCTTCTGCCTGAGCCGAGGCGGAGGGCGCGGACGGTCGGGCAGGGCAGCGGCCGTCTCCTGCAGGAGGCATCGGGACTCCGGCCCTGCTGGGGATGGGCCGGTGCAAGCCATGGCCTCTACCAACCCCGGGTCCTCACCTTCTGAGGGGCGGGACGCCTTCCGGCTCTCGAAAGGCCACTAACACATGCACGTGTAGCTCCTCCTAGGTTGAGTCAGCCCAGCCGGCACCTGATGAAGAAGCTCTGAAAAGCGACCCCACACCTCTAAGGAGAAACGAAGAAAGGCAAAAGCCGCTCTCTCCACTTTCCGCCTCCCCAGACGCCCGCGCCTGCCCGGTCTGCTGTCAGGCGCCACCGCTAGGCTCCGCGCCCGGGCAGGGCGGCCACTCTCTGCTCCAGACGCAGCTCGTGCAGGGCTGGCTCAGTGCTGCGCGCAGTGTCACAGCGAGACTCCCCCGCACAGTGCCGGCATCTGGACGGCGTCTCTCCTCTTTCACCCGCCTTGCAGCCCACAGCTCCCAGTCTGGCAGCCGCGACCAGAGTGCTGAGCAGAGAGGAAGGAGGGACACCACGTCCCGCTCCTGTTGCCTAGCTCGGCTCTGTGGGACCCTGGGAGGGCGTTTCCTTCTCCGAGCTGCAGTTGTGACCCCCTCAAAGTGGGGTGGAGATTCCCACTTCCAGCCTCACTGGGGCGGGGAGGCCCTAAACAGAGGACGCAGGGAAGCGCTTGGTGAGCTGGTGGCGTCCTACAAATGGGATGTGTTATTTTTATGGCCCATTCTCTTCCTCCAGCACTGTTAAGAAGTAAACAAAAAATGTAGGAATTGCAATAATGTTGCATTTGGGAGGAATTAAAATATGCTCATCATTAGCAAGCGCTTAGAAAACATGTAGGAAATTTGCGTGGATCATTTCGGGAGCTCACAACTGTAGAGGTGCCCAAGGTGTCTGTAGGCACCAAATCACAAGCCCATCTGTGCCACCAACTAACCGCCAGCAAGAGGTGGATTGCTCTTGCCCTTTGGTAATGATGTAAGTATAGAAGTTTATGGAGTTTTCTCTGTGTCCTCTGGAATCTATAGACATTTGGCTTTCAAATCTGTATACTTATGTCCTAAATAAAAAATGTGGAAGTAGAGATCCTTGGAAGGTGGAATTGAATAAGTAATCTTACTGTTAAGAAAAAATAATGATCAATGGCTGTGGTCACCTGTGAACACCTTGTTATTCCATCAAGTCGGACTCTTCCTTGCAGGCTGTGAGAACCGCCCCGCCCCTCCCTTCCCTCCCCGGGGCAGATCATTATTGGGGTGCTGAGGCCCTAGTGCGGACACACCTGGCAGGCCCGTCTTCTGCAATGTTGTTTCACTGCTGTACTCTGTCATAGAGTTGCTGTGTGTCCTCGGATGGTCCCTTTGACCTCTCTGTGCTTTGCAGTGTGTAGTTACTAGATCGAGAGTTTTTTTTAAGTCATCTTTGAAATGGAGTCTTTTAAAATAGCTGTAGGCGGTGTGGCAAGAATGCTTCTTAATTGCCTGTTGTGGTGCCTGGTGCACTCTGGCTGAGTTTGCCTGGAAGGGCGCGTCTCCTCCGTGGCTGCGGCCCTGAGCCTGAAGCCCTGACGCCAGGCCCTGGGGGACGCGGAAGACCAGCTACCAGGCCGCCTTGGGCTGCGCTCTGAAACGGGCACGGAGAGACACGCGTGCAGGCAGACGGCAAGGGCCGCGTCTGTCCATCCGTCAGGCCGAGGCCTCCTTGTAGCTTGTCTCTTCCGGGACTCCTCCTCGCTGTCCCAGGCGCATGCTTTTCCCGGAGATCTCCCAGAGGGAGAGTCCAGGCTCGGGTCTGTCTTCGCAGCCCCGGAGCTGACCTCTTTCCCCAGAAAGGCGTGGAGGCGATTTCCCGGTGCAGCCCAGCGTGGCGCTGGGACCGCAGAGCCCTGCACACGCCCAGCTGATAAGGGAAGCGCAGCCTTCCGTCGCCCGGCGCGGGTGGAGCTGCTGCCCTGCACAGGGCTCTCTGCAGCCCCAGCCAGGCACGGCCTGCACGGCTTGCGCTTCCCTGGGACCGGCCCCCTGCGCCTCTCCCTCCCGCCCCACCGCCCACTCGGCAACGGCCAGCCACTTACTGGACCAGCCCCGGTCAGAGCCCACTGGACGAGGTGGGTGGAGACCAGGAGGACGGTGGCGAGCCCCGCGTGCGGTGCTGCTGGGCCTGAGGCGGGAGCATGGCAGGCGGCGGAGAGGATGGCGGGGCAGGTTTAGCGCCTGCTACGCCGGAGCGCCAGGGACCGGCGCGCTGGGTTCGCCCTTTCCTGTGCACTGGGCGTCTTTGGGCGGGACGTTCCGGCCAGTGATCGGCATGTGACTTTCCCACTGCATGATTGCTGCTGATCCGGCATAGTCCTTGCTCCCCTAAACACCTCTTCCAATGGCCTTACTGAGGCCTGAGTTCCACACTTAGAGATTCATTCCTATGGTGTAAACCTCTGCTGGTAACACTGAGAGGTAGTCCACTAAACTGCACCCGTCACTGAGGGCTCGGTGTACTGGTGCTCTTTAGGCTCGTTTTTAAGTATCAGCTTCTCAGTGGACAGGAGCTGAGAACGTGGGCATGAGGCACTTGAGGTGACACAGGGAAGAGAAGAGGATATCACCGAATCGGGGAAGGAGGCAGGATATAGGAGCCAAGGACAAATGCGCCCTTTCTTCCATCCTGGGCGACCTTGAGGCACTTGCTGGAACACACAGGGCAGGGCGGACGAGGGAGGCTGCATGGCCATTTTCAGGTCTGTGTCTGGGCCGTGGAGCACAGCCGTGTCCTGGCTGCAGTCCTGGCCCGCGGCGCTGGTTTGCGCCGGTTTGCGCCGGACCGCCATCTGTGGGCCTCACAGCCTCACAGACACGTTACAGCAAGATTTTGGGGTGTTGACAAGTCTAGCCAGGAACAAATTGGAATCTACTTTTTTATACAGGAAAAGACTCCTTATAATAAATTCCAGAGGGATTCATGGTGGTTGCTTTTTATACAATTTTGTTAAAAATGAATTTCTTGGGAAAATATAATTCTAATCAGGAAGACTGAGAGCTGGCTGAGGCCCGCCGTCCGAGTCATGTGTGAAAAAGAAGTATTGTAACAAGAAGGCAGTAAGGGAAGGTGCATTTCTCAAGCTCATACCCCCACCCCACCCTTTAATTTCCCATGTTCTGGAACTTAGGGCTTTAGAGTTTAGGATGTGTGTGTGTGTGTGTGCGTTTTATGTTGGAAGAACAGGAGTTGGAAAATAATTGCTACTTGATGGCAGGAGAAAACAACTGCAAATAAAAGTTCCAGTTCTATTCCAGCTTAGCTCTTCCAGCCCCACCTAGAATGTAAGTAGCACAAAACCAGACCATTTCCTTGCAGAGATAAAACCCAATAAGGCACTTATTATATGCATATCAATTCAACAAACTTTAATGAACACCTACTACGTGCTGGGTGCTGTGCTGAGAGCTGTGTGCAGGACACAGAGGATTGTCGTATGGGTGCCGTCCTCAGAGTGCTCGCAGCCTGCAGTGGGACTCAGCCACGGGCTTGACTGCTTGGCTGACGGCAGGGAGGGCAGTTCTGCCGTGATGGGGGCCAACACAGTGGGCAGGGGGCTCCTCAGCTTTACGGAGGAGACTTTTCATCAGGGCTTCAAAAACTGAGCCAGATTTCAAAGGTGGGGAAGAGAGAACATTCTAGCCAGGAGGGCACTTCTTGATAGCTCAAAAGTAAGTGATGGTTTTGCAGCACAGATGGAAGGTGGGCCTGGCTACAGGGGGGCTACTTGGGGAGCACGGCCACCAGTTCTTCATCCATCAGGCCTACCTTAGATAACCAGATCAGTAAAGCATACTTTGAAAGGACTGAAGTAGTGTGTGGCATGGTATTTGCTCTGATAAATAATGTAGAAATCATATCAGTTTTTCAAGCATCGAATTATAGCTACTTATAAAATACCCCAGTGTATATGATCTCTTCTTCTTCCTCTTCCTCTTCTTCTTTTTTTGAGATAGGAGACTTACTATGTTGCCCAGGCTGATCTTTAACTCCTGGGCTCAAGCAATCCTCCTGCTTCAGTCTCCCAAGTAGCTGGGATTATAGGCTGCCTTGTGCTCCTTCTTATGGCCAGAGGCATGTAATTTAGAGCATGACATCTGTGAACAGAAGCAGTTTTAAAGCAAGGTTAAGGGAGTATAGGGAGCAGCTGGTGTTGTTGGGAGTAGCTGGTGTTTTAGAGAGTTGCTGGGGTTGCACAGAGTAGCTGGGGTTGTAGGGAGGAGGTGCATGGGGTTAGGGCAGGTATCTGGTGTTGTTGGGAGTAGCTGGTGTTTTAGAGAGTTGCTGGGGTTGTGCAGAGTAGCTGAGCTGCATGGGGTTAGGGCAGGTATCTGGTGTTGTTGGGAGTAGCTGGTGTTTTAGAGAGTTGCTGGTGTTTTAGAGAGTAGCTGGGATTGTAGGGAGGAGGTGCATGGGGTTAGGGCAGGTATCTGGTGTTGTTGGGAGTAGCTGGTGTTTTAGAGAGTTGCTGGTGTTTTAGAGAGTTGCTGGGGTTGTGCAGAGTAGCTGGTGTTTTAGAGAGTTGCTGGTGTTTTAGAGAGTTGCTGGGGTTGTGCAGAGTAGCTGGGATTGTAGGGAGGAGGTGCATGGGGTTAGGGCAGGTATCTGGTGTTGTTGGGAGTAGCTGGTGTTTTAGAGAGTAGCTGGGGTTGTAGGGAGGAGCTGCATGGGGTTAGGGCAGGTATCTGGTGTTGTTGGGAGTAGCTGGTGTTTTAGAGAGTTGCTGGGGTTGTGCAGAGTAGCTGGGGTTGTAGGGAGGAGCTGCATGGGGTTAGGGCAGGTATCTGGTGTTGTTGGGAGTAGCTGGTGTTTTAGAGAGTAGCTGGGGTTGTAGGGAGGAGGTGCATGGGTTAGGGCAGGTATCTGGTGTTGCAGGGAGTAGCTGGGGCTGCAGGCAGGGGGTGTGCAGGTTGTAGGGGCACCATACTCTTACCTGTGTATCTCTCTCTTGCTTTAACTGTTTATCTGAAACTGGAGTCTGGTTAGAGGTTGAAAACCTGCCACTGATTAAGAAGCAGCCAGGATGCCCTGAAGGCCAAAGCGCCCTCAGTGTCTGCCTCTTCTCTCTCCCCCTTATCTTCCTGTGGTGACAACAGGCCCCTGCCAGGCCAGCCTGTGGTTTGCCTTCAGGATCCTGCATTTCAAAGACTGTCCCTGTCCGTCCATCAGTGGCAGCGGTGGCGGCCTGCTCTCCTGCCCTCTGTTCTAGATTTGTGCCACCTGCCCAGTGACTCTTGGCAGGGTGGATTCAGAGCCCAGTGACTCTTGGCAGGGTGGATTCAGAGCCCAGTGACTCTTGGCAGGGTGGATTCAGAGCCCGGTGACTCTTGGCAGGGCGGTTCAGAGCCTGGTGACTCTTGGCAGGGTGGTTCAGAGCCCGGTGACTCTTGGCAGGATGGATTCAGAGCCCGGTGACTCTTGGCAGGGTGGTTCAGAGCCCGGTTACTCTTGGCAGGGTGGATTCAGAGCCCAGTGACTCTTGGCAGGGTGGTTCAGAGCCCGGTGACTCTTGGCAGGGTGGATTCAGAGCCCAGTGACTCTTGGCAGGGTGGATCAGAGCCCAGTGACTCTTGGCAGGGTGGTTCAGAGCCCAGTGACTCTTGGCAGGGTGGTTCAGAGCCCGGTGACTCTTGGCAGGGTGGATTCAGAGCCCGGTGACTCTTGGCAGGGTGGTTCAGAGCCCAGTGACTCTTGGCAGGGTGGATTCAGAGCCCGGTGACTCTTGGCAGGGTGGTTCAGAGCCCGGTGACTCTTGGCAGGGTGGATTCAGAGCCCGGTGACTCTTGGCAGGGTGGATTCAGAGCCCGGTGACGCTTGGCAGGGTGGATTCAGAGCCCAGTGACTCTTGGCAGGGTGGATTCAGAGCCCGGTGACTCTTGGCAGGGCGGTTCAGAGCCCGGTGACTCTTGGCAGGGTGGTTCAGAGCATGGTGACTCTTCGCCGGGTGGTTCAGAGCCCAGTGACTCTTGGCAGGGTGGATTCAGAGCCCGGTGACGCTTGGCAGGGTGGATTCAGAGCCCGGTGACTCTTGGCAGGGTGGATTCAGAGCCC